TGGTGTCTGACACACTGCACGGGGATAGTATGCTATCTGACACACACTGTACAGGGGGACAGTCTGGTGTCTGATGCACACTGACACCAGTGTGCATCACTGAAACTCCTGATGTTTCTAAAGTATTACATTGCAATGTTCTCTCACAGACGTTCCTGAGCACCCGTAAGGGGGCCTGGGTCGTGAGCCGTGCTTCGGACAGAGGGATGCCCCTGGACATGACGAAGATCTCACGGATCGTTGGCTTCCTGACAGAATGGCTGCCTGCCTGTCTGGTGAACTGGCTCTGGGAGAGAACGCTGAACCAGAAATATGACCACAGCATGTATGGGCTCCAGTCACAACAGAGGTATTGAGCTCACCTGAGAGTCTGCGCATTCCCTGCAGCTACCAGAATGTGTTCCCTGTAGATAACGTGTTTATTTGGTATTATTGTTTTGTTCATAAACAATTACAGTATCACATGTACAGTATATAGCAAGGTGGATAGCAGGCCTTTTCCTTTGCTTAATGGTTTTATTATAGCCAGAGTAAATCAGAAATTCTTCTTAATTCTTACAGTGCATCTTGACATTCATGACAAGTGATTACTCTGTAGGAAGCTGAAAGAACAGGAATCTGTAAAAGCAATTAAAGAAAGAAGAAAGAAAATGTAATTCTAGTTAAGAAATGTAGCTGTTTCCCAAATCTTGTATCAGCTGTGCATGTGTAAGTCACTTTGGACAAGAGTGTCAGCCAAATGAAATAACGATATTAAAGTATGAGGTAATGATATTAAAAAGCGATGAGTTAACAATGTTAAAGTAATGATGTCTGTGATCGCAGCTTTAGACTGACTGTTTCTGTCTCAGCTGTGCCCTGTGATTTGAACTGCAAAGAACCCGTTTGCAAGCCACTGCCTCTCCTGCAGGGTGTTAAAACAGAGGCCGCTGATCAATGACGACCTGCCCTGTCGGATCCTCCTGGGGGCGCTCGTCATGAAGCCCCACGTGCGCGAGTTCAGGGGCTCCAGCGTGGTGTTCGAGGACGGGACGGTGGAGGACGGGATCGACGCTGTGGTCTTCTGCACGGGGTACAAGTACAGCTTCCCCTTCCTGCCCGCCTCCCTCTTCGCCCCGCCTGGGCAGCAGCTGGCCCTGTACAAGCACCTCTTCCCTCCCGCCCTCCAGCCGCCCACCCTGGCCGTGGTGGGCCTCTTCCAGGCCAGCGGGCCCATCATGCCCATCGCAGAAATGCAGGTGCGCTGGGCGACACGAGTCATCGCAGGTAAGGGTCTCCCTCCTCACCCCCGAGCCCCGCTCTCGACTGGAGGCCCCCCTCCTGCCAGTCTACCGCATGTCAGTGCGCAAGAGACAGCAACACACTGTGCTAAGGTGCGGGCAGCTCTGATTGCTAACAAAGGAGGCAGTTTGATAAGTGAAAATCCGAGATTGAAGAACATTTTTCCTGCTGCGTGCTTCAGGGTCGGAACAGTCTCACTCAAAGCAGAGTTTTTATGAAACCCCCAGAGGTTACTCTGAGCGATCATCTGCTGTTACTTTATAAAGAGAGCAGAGGGGGAGTGTCCACACAGTAACTCATCAGGACACCAAGGTATGAGACTCTGAAGGAGTTCAAATGAGCAGAATCGTCCTGCACCCAGAGGGGAAAGAACGCAGTGAAATCTCTGTGGCAGAGTCCTCTTGGATCGATTTTTGCATCGCCTTGAGCCCTTCCAGTTCTAGCCATTCCTCGTACTCTCAAGTGAAGCTTTAAGTGGTAAGTGACTTACAGGTTTGCCATCTCTGAGAATGTTTGTTCTGTCGTGACTTAGGGCTAAACAAGCTGCCCACAGAGGAGACGATGCTGAAGGACATCGAATGTGAAACAAAGAGGATGGAGAGGAGGTAAACTGCACACAACCAGAGGACAGCACGTCCGGTAGCTTGACTGTGCATGAGCACTGTACATCCCTCATCACTTCTGTAGTGCAGGTATAAAAGTGGCTGAACAGGCATTCATGGGCCCCTACACTGTCTGTAACATCTTTCAGGACCTAGCATTAAAACCCCTCCAATGGACATATTTTTAAGATTTTACCACCTTTTAATTTAGTATTCCTGTACTGTACATTTCCTTTACCCTCTCAAACTGGCATCAGCTGTCACTGCCTTGTACCGGCATGAGAGGAGTGTAAAGCCAGCCTATGCAGCCTCTGAAACAGCTCACTGTCAGGTTTCATGAGCTTCTTCACACAGAGCACAAACAGCCCTGCCCCGGTGCCAGGCAGAGAGGCCATGTGGCTCCCTGATAACTCCGTGAGCTCACTGCTGTCCAGCCAATCAGAGAGCTGCCTGAGAAGCCAATAGAAGCCCAGCAGACTTTGGACCGTCCCTAGCAGTGCCTGGACAGTTGTCTGCCCCCCAGTTCAGACACGCTCAGACTAGTGACCCCTGGGCTGCAGAGCCCAGCCTCTCCCTGCTGAGCAGCTCAGGGGCCCCTTACATTCTTCACACAAGCTGCTTTTGTGAAATTCTAAAAAAAAAAAAGTCCATTAAAAAAAAATCTGAGGAAATGGAAGATTTTAAAAAAGCCATTTAAGTTTTGTGCACAGCAACAATAATGTTTAAAGGAGAAATTTGATTGTTAGAGCTCAGACTTCTCCTGCTCTAGGTGCCCGCAGCTGTGTGAGCTGGGTGACCGGCTGTCTCTCCCTGTACAGGTACACTGCGAAACTGGCCCCCCTCCAGGTGGACTACATCCCCTACCTGGACAGCCTGGCCGCGCAGATCGGGGCGCGGCCCAGCCTGATGGGGCTGCTGCTGCGGGACCCCCGCCTGGGGCTGAGTGTGCTGCTGGGCCCCTGCACCCCGTACCAGTACCGGCTGTC